GGAGGGGGAGGGAGGGAGGGAGAGAGTGAGAGTGAGAGTGAGAGTTTAGGGTATAGGGTTCAGGAGTTAGGGTTTAAGGTCTAGGAGAGGGAGAGAGAGAGTCAGCGAGTGCAAGGATGGAGTTCGTCCCCAAATCTTACATGCCGACCCCTGGAGGGCCGAAATGAAGCCCTGCAGCCCAAAGCCTGAAAGAGGCCGTAAACCCTTAGTAGCACCTTAAGCCCTAAACCTTAAATCCTAAACCCTAAAACCCTAAACCGTCATCCTCAAACCCTAAACCCTAAACCTCAAACCCTGACCTCAGGTGTGAGTGCAGCTTTTGGTCCCACGGCAAGCACACCGGTGCCAAATGCCTTTCGCCCTGCAAGGAACAGGCTTCAGGGATTTGAGGTGTGTTACTAGGCCCTCTCGCTGCTTTTCGGCTTCCCAGTTTATTGAGGATTCGTGGCTACCCTAAACCCTAAACCCTAAACCCTAAACCCTAAACCCCTAAACCCCTAAACCCTATAAACCCTAAGCCCCTAAACCCATAAAAGTTCTTCCGCCCCGGACACGACACCTTGAGAAGCCGCGCGCCTTGGACCCCAAGACTCCTGCATAGATGCACTTGAACCTTTAGCCTCACCCATAGGCCCCATAGTAGTGGTTTAGGGTTTAGGGTTTAAGGTTTAGGGTTTAGGGTTTAGGGTTTAGGGTTTAGGGTTTAGGGTTTAGTAGTTCCTTTTTGGGTTTACCCTATAGGATTCTATGTAGCTTTTCAAACCTAGGGCCTTGAAGTGAGCACTACCCGTTTAGGGCTTAGGGCTCAGGGCTTTGGGTTTAGGGTTTAGGGTCTAGCAGTCTCCATTGTAGTTCCGTTTTGGGTTACCTTATAGGCTGGCTGAACCAATCATAGGGAACTCCAATAGGGACAACAGAGACACCAGCAACAGTGAAACCCGGCACCCTGCTGTGCTCAGGGAGCTTCATCTGATGCTGCAGGCTGGGCGTGTTTTGTTGTTTTAGGTTTAGGGCTTAGGGCTTCTAGGGTTAACGGCATTCGGGCGACTGGGGTTTAGGGATTAAGGTTTGGGGTGTCCAAGTGTTAGCGCTACGAGGGTTGTTTTTAAGGATCCCAAAGGAGGTCGGGTTAGGAAGTACGGATCTCTTGGGGTTTCGTTGCTGGTGAGTGGGTCAGGGAGTTGGAATGTATAGGCTTGAGCACCCCTAAACCCTAAACCCTAAACCCTAAACCCTAAACCCTAAACCCTAAACCCTAAACCCTAAACCCTAAACCCTAAACCAAAAACCCTAAACCGCAAAGCCCATTCGCCTTAAGCGACTTGGAGGACCTCTTGGTTCGTCACGGCATGGCACCAGACGAACGCTCCGCGATCAGGGCTTCGGCCGCAAGAGCGAAGGAGGGCCACGCGGTTCTTCCTGCGGGCCAGGCCCTAAACTCCCGAAACCCTAAACCCTTATCCCTAAACCCTAAACCCAAAACCCCAAACCCAAAACCCAAAACCCTAAACCCTAAACCCTGGACCCTAAACCCTAAACCCCCTAAACCCAGCCCCAGGCCCGGCACGAAGCTCGGTCTCCCAGCGCAAGCGACACTACGCACCGACGTTCCTCTTGATGGGTTTAGGGTTTAGGGTTTCGGGTTTAGGGTTTGGGGTTTAGGGTTTAGGGTTTAGGGTTTAGGGTTTAGGGTTTGGGGTTTAGGGTTTGGGGTTTAGGGTGCGGAGGCACCTGATGCCGATTCCAGCGACAGCGGCGACAGTGCTGCAGCCAAAGAAGCTCATCGGGGGGTTACTGCCGTTGGTATCACCGGTACTGCCTATCACCGGTACTGCGCACATGCCTGTTCCAGGACGGTTGGCATCCGCTGCCACACGATCGTCATGCGCGCGATACTGCGTGTTAAGGATGCGGAGCCTGATGGGATAGAGAACCCAGGCCCTCAACCCTACTTAAAGGATCATGGGACTTAGTAAGTAGGGTTGTAATTAGGGTAACTATGCTTATAACCCCAATTAAGGGACTTATAATCCCACTTACTAAGTCCTATGATCCTTTAAGTAACCCAGCCCGCCGGCATCCCCCAATCTTGACCCTCGCAGAACCCGATGCGCACACTGAGAGGCATCCCGAAGGCCAGAATGCCCTGACCCTTCTGCTCAAAGCCTAAAGCCCCCGAAAAGCTTGCCCCAAACCCTAAACCCCTAAACCCTAAATCCTAAACCCTTAACCCTAAACCCTAAACCCTAAACCCCTAAACCCTAAACCCTAAACTACCTGCCTAATGAAGTATGTTTAGAAATCATATTTAGGGGCCCCAACGATGCGGATTTTGTGTAAGGGCTAGGAAAGCCTTAGTGCCCGAGAGCTCTTGAAGTTTCCTGCGAGACTTCAAAAAAGTCGAAAGCAACTTTGGGTTTAGGGTTTAGGGTTTAGAGTTTAGCTTAAATGTCAGGGAAAGGCAAACGGATGGATGCACGTATATACGGATGGATACAATGGTAGATGGGTAGATAGGTAGGTAATTAGGCAGGTAGATGGGCATGTAAATAGATAGATGGATCGAGTGATGGATTGATTCGTCCGAAAACCGGTTCAGACTTTTCTCCATGAATCACAAACCCCGCCAAACCCTAAAGCCCTAAATCCCAAGACCCAAACCCTAAACGCAGAATCAGCGTCCGACCCTAAACCCTAAACCCTAAACCCCAAACCCCAAGCCCTAAAATTGAAATCCCAAGCTCGATCTTTCGCCGGCGGGAGGTGAGATCCCCGCACCCGCGGAGCCACCGGCGCCAAAGGACTTCCTGGGTTTGGGGTTTAGGGTTTAGGGTTTGTTTCGTTTAGTGTGCAAGGGGTTTGGGTTTAGGGTTTTGGGTCTAGGGGGGGTTTAGGGTTTAGGGGTTTTGGGGGTTTAGAGTTTAGGGGTTTAGGGGGGGTGGGGTTTAGTAAAGGGCTTGTTTCTTATAGAAGTCGCACTAAGTCACTGAATAGAAACACTTTTCCGCAGGGTTTGCTATGGTTATAGTAGAATATTAATATATGTCGTAGCATGCCTCCAAATCTTGATCTAATTCTCAAGCCCCCTATATTCCGCGATCTTTTTGTCTTTCTGTTTTATAATTTACAGGTGGTTTATAAGGGGTTGCAGAACATAAGTGGCTTGAGCACGGGCCAGTTCGTTGGGGGTTAGCGGCGTAGCGTTTAAGGCGTTGCTTTGCGGGTTTAGGGGTTAGGGTTTGGGGTTTAGGGTTTAGGATTTAGGGTTGAGGTGCTGGAGGTCGTTCTGTTTCTTCAATTGCCAGGTTCAGGTCCTGACCATAAGCGTAGTTAACAGGAAAAACAACATTAGAGACTTTGGGTAATGTAGGGGCCTTAAAAAAAGAATTGGGTTTGGGGGGGCTTCTTATTGTAAATATAGTATGAGATACTCCCAAACCCTAGTCTAATTACTAAGGCCCCTCTATTAAGACTTGGGCTGCAGGCTAGCTAGCAAGTGTTCCTTTTGAATCGCCTTGCTGACTGCCAGATTGCCCTGAACCCTTACTTGCCGCTGAATGGCCCCAAGCAATGTAGGAGTGAAAGCTTGAGACCCAGATTTTGCATCTACGCCCATGCACTCAGAGCCTTTGTCTTTGGAGGCTTCCCTAAACCCCTAAACCCTAAACCCTAAACCCCTAAACCCCTAAACCCCTAAACCCCTAAACCCCTAAACCCCTAAACCCCTAAACCCTAAACTGTAGCATTGCTTTCTAGAACTAGTGCTCTAAACCCTTAGCTTTAAGCCCCGAACACGTTGCTGGCGAGGACCAGCCGAACGGAGCGGGCAGTCCATCCGTAGCATCAGAAGGCCAACGTGTCTCATTTGCTCTGGGGTTTATAGGGTTTTAACCTGGGGTCTGGAATTTGGTGCTGAGCATTATTGCTGGTGTTGTTGTTGTTGTTGTTGTTGTTGTTGTTGTTGTTGTCGTGGTTGTTGTTGTTGTTGTTGTTGTCGTGGTTGTTGTGGTTGTGGTTGTTGTTGTTGTTGTTGTTGTTGGTATTGTTGTTGTTGCTGTTGTTGTTGGTGGTGGTGATGTCGTTGTTGATGTCGTTGCTGTTGCTAATTAGTCGTTGTTGCTGCTACTGTTGTTGTAGTTGCTGTAGGTGTTGTTGTTGCTATGTCGATGGTTTTGCTGTCGTCGTGGTTGTTGGGTTCGATGGTGCAGTTGATGCTGTTGCTGTCGCTCTTGTTGTTGTTCTTGTTGTTGTTGTTGTTGTTGTTGTTGTTGGTGATGTGGCTGTCGTTGTTGTTGTTGTTGTTGTTGTTGTTGTTGTTGTTGTTGTTGATGTGGCTGTTGCTGTTGCTGTTGTTAGTGTTGTTGTTGTTGCTGCTGTTGTTGTTGGTGTTGTTATGGTTGTTGTTGGTGGTGGTGAGGTGATGCTGGTGATGGTGGTGGTGATGATGTTGTTGATGTCGTTGTTGTTTCTGTTGTTGGTGTTGTTATTGTCGTTGTTGTTGGTGTTGTTGTTGTCGTTGCTGCTTCTGTGGTTGTTGTTGTGGTTGTTGTTGTTGTTGTTGTTGTTGGTGGTGGTGGTGGTGGTGGTGGTGGTGGTGGTGTTTGTTGTTGTCGCTGCTGTTGCTGTTGTTGATGGTGCTGTCGTCGTTGTTGTTGCAGTTGCACTGTTGTTGTTGTTGTTGTTGTTGTTACAGCTGTTGTTGGTGTTGATGTTGGTACTGTTGTTGTTGATGCTGCTGTTGTGGTTGCTGTTGGTTTTGTTGTTGTTGCTGCTCTCTCTATTGTTGTTGCTGCTGTAGATAATGCTGTTGTTGTCGATGTGGCTGCTGTTGTTGTTGTTGTTGGTTGTTGTTGTTGTTGTTGTTGTTGGTGGTGGTGGTGGTGTTGTTATTGGTGGTGGTGGTGGTGGTGGTGGTGGTGGTGGTGGTGGCGTCGTTGTCGTTGTTGTTGTTGCGGTTGTTGCTGCTTCGTTGTTGTTGTTGTTGTTGTTGTTGTTGTTGTTGTTGTTGTTGTTGTGTTGTTGTTGATGATGTTGATGTTGATGTTGATCTTGTTGTTGCTGCTGATATTGTTAATGCTGTGGTGCTTGTTGCTATCATTGGTGGTTGTTGTTGTTGCTGTTTTTGTTGGTATTCTGGGTGGTGGTTGTTGTTGGTTGTTGTAACTGCTGTGCTTGTTGTTGTTGGTGGTTGTGGTTGTTGTTGTTGTTGTTGGTGTGGTGGTGGTGGTGGTGGTGGTGGTGGTGGTGGTGGTGGTGGTGGTGGTGGTGGTGGTGGTGGTGGTGGTCGTGTATATGCACGTGTACTTGTGCATGTAAGTACATGGACATGCATGCTGCAATGCCAAGCACATGAAAAAAAGCACCGGTCAGCATTTGTGCCTTCCATATCCTGAACTCCTAAAGAGCATCCTTGTGATTGTCGCTAGTTGTGTCAATAATTTTTGCTGGCGCTTGAACAACAGTCGCGTCAACTGTCCGAGCAGGACAAGCATGATGTCAAAGGAGAACTGTTCGCCGCAGCAGCAATGATATTGTAAGCAAACAGGCTGATGTCGTGGTTCAGGATACCAATGGCCACCGAGATTCGGATTGAAAAATATTTCGCTACGAGCATAGTAACGGATGCACCGTTTATTTTACGGCCCCATGCTCAAACCGTCCAAGGTGTTTGATGCACGGGCTTTACCACTCAAGCAGCCAGGGAAGTGTTACATAGTGCTAGCCTCAATCACTCGCTATCACCATTGCTGCCATTATCTTCGGGGCTGTCGGTTGGCGCCACCCACATACAACTACTATCAGCAGCATGCGAAGACTGAAACTGGTCTTGCATAAATTTGCCGGGACTATGTTAATGCTCTGTTGTAAGTTAGTCTTCATGATCGTCTACGGACGCGGCAGCAACTGCCAAAAATGAGATATCGCCAAAGGGCTTGTCGGTTCGGAATGTGCTTGGTCCGCGGCATGTATTTGGAAGGAGCAGGGAAGGATAACACGCGGGAGTCGTAAGCGAAGTACCTTGCGGGTACAGGCGAAACCAAAAGAAACCTAGCCGGAGGTTCCTGATTCGACCTAGCCTCTCTTACCCCTACTCTATTTAGGACCTGCTGTTGTTGTGAACATGTGGGATTCCCAAGTGTCCACGGAGCAGAACAGAAGCGTCCATGGAGTTTGGTTTTATGAAGAACTTCCCAAGGCGTCCATCTTATGTTATATACCAAAGAGTCTTAAGAGTCCAGAGGATAAGCCGTTATGAGGTATAGTGTCCTCTGATCGTAAGGCTTAAGGCTAGGAGTTCGATCCTCGCCGAAATTGACATCGCGTCTCATGGCAGGATGATCGGGCGTCATAAGCACATCATAAGGAGTGCCGCAGAAGCTACGAGTCAAGGCTTCAGCTCGTTAGAGCTCGCAGCTTTTATTTAAGGCTTAAGGGTTTCGGGACCGGGATGGTTCTCTAATCCTGAAGCCCCAACTGCCAAACAAAGGTTTGGTGCTCCTCTCGGCGGTATGAGGTCGAAAGCTTCTCCTTTCAAGCAGTTCGGATTGTTGTTTGGTTTTGAAGATCATGGTAGGCCTTCGGAAGAACACCGGCTTTTCAGGCACTGTTTTCTGGGATGACGTCTGTAAGTCGGGGTGTACCTCTTTGTTTCTTAAGACCCGCGACTCGTACATCCCCATGCGATTAGGAGTCTAGAACAGCCACCAGATTCCGGAGAAGGTTTGCGTGGAATGCCAGCAGTCGACACCTGCGACCTCTTCCGAACCTGGACTCCTCAAGCCTTCATGGCCCGCTCGGGGTTGGGGTTCAGGTTTAGGGAGCTTCCAAGGTGCTGCAGGTCAATCTTGACCGTGGTGTTGGCCATAATGCCCAGACTCTCGTCCTTCCACAGTTCCGATGCAGAAAATAGGCAGATTCATGATGCCGGGATGAATGCAGGAAAACTATCAGCGCAAGCCTAAACTTAGCTCAAAAATGCCACGTCCGAACGATGAGACAATCTTGCATAGGCATCGCCGCTGCGGAGAGACCGTTCGCTCTGGAAATTCTCGTCGCCGCTCACCCTTTCGCAATCGATGGTGTATGGGAACTCGGTCGCATGCTGACATGGTATTGCCTGCAGGAAGATCTCACATATTCCCCACCATCAACCCAATTGAGAAAGACTGGCAATGAACTACCAGGTTCCTAAGTAGACTGTAAAAGTAGTCCAGGCGCATGGCTACATCGGAGCTACGTACTCTGATGGCAACGCCTGTGCTTGGAGAGCCCATGGCCTCTGCAGACCCTGCCCCAGGGCTAGGCTCAGAGACAATCCCTGCGTCCCGGGGCTTTCCGAGCATCATGTTATGAGCAACTTCTTGCGAGGCTCCGAGAAATGAGGGATCCCAGGATGACTCTGCGGAGCTTCTGGGGCCTGATCGCGATTCGTGCTGAGCCCAAAGCAGAAAAACCCCGAAGCTCATCTCATAATCTCATGCGGAATATGTGACAATGCTCTCAATATTGCTATATAACATATTCATATTATTAGAACCTTTTCGTCTCATATTATCATGCAGTGTCCTGCACTGCCTCAATGATGCACTCGACTTCCGCTGGTTCCTCCGCGGTTGGCGTGCCGGCGATCCTGCATGTTCACGATGGAGGGGTGCCTTGAACCCCAAACCGCTTGAGGTTTATGATTGAGGGTGAGCTCTCTAACAGCTTATAGGGTTGGCTGTGAACCTATGAGGCTTTAAGGGGAAGGATCTCCAATTTCCAGCGGCCTGTCCTGCCGGTGCGCGGATCCAGCACTAAGCCCAGTGAGTGTAAGTCGCAGCCAGTACCTTCCTGAGGCACTTTCGGCTCATGGACCACGAAGCCAAAGCTGCGATACTACACACTGTTCCTTCAGCTTGTCTTCTATACTTAACCCTGATATACAACTCATACGCCGGCGTAGATAGCAAAAGGAAGCGTGCAGAGATAGACCCAAAATCTAATGGTCTATGGTGTGAGATCTTGAACGTCCTGTTGGGTCCGAGATCTCACAACATGAGAAAGACAGCCAGCCCATACCCTCAATCCTATGCCAAGAGCCCATCATTGGCGGGTGTGCGCTCGAAGTTAAACCTTTAGCCCTGAGCTCTACAACCAAAGTCTTCTCCTTTCATGGTCATAGGGTTTAGTGTTTAGGAGTTAGGGAGAACTCTACAACCAAAATCTTCTCCCGGCAACAACGACAGAACGGAATCAACCTACCCCTCACGACTCCTGTAGCTTTGGCGATCCAGCACAGTCACTCTCAAGTAATGGTTGGGAATGGAACCGGGAGATCTTGGAACTTGTTGACACTCCGATAGTCGCCCTGAGCACGAGGCCCGAGCAGACCAGGGAGGAAAGCCGAAACGTGCATTTCGTAGTGCTTGAACTGCAGGCTGAAATAGTGCCACAAATGCCCCAACATCCTGAAACCCGGTTCAAGATGTATCTCCTAGCAGGATCTCCAAGGCACAAGGACTCCGGCCACGCGGTAGCTTGAGGCAGTTCGTGGGTAGGGCTGGTCACTCATCGCCTCGCCAAGCCTTGGTCCGAATGCAGGTGTCCGGCTTTTGGGGTTCACAGTTTGGGATTGGGTCCGAAAAGTTGTTTAATCCGAGACACAAGGTGAGGAAACGACCTGCCAGGCAAGTTGCAGTCCGCTGCAATTTTGCCCTCTACCAGACGACCTGATGTAAGATTGAGAGCTTAACGTTCAAGGCTTATCAAGTTCAGGGTTGTAGGCAACTGCGCATCAGAGTTTTAGGGGGTTTCATGCTGAAGCCTGACACCCAAACCTGCGGACGCTGAAAGCGTGAAGGAAGAATCCTAGAAGTAAGAAACGAAGCGACCCAGGGTTGCAAGATGCAGACAGGAAGGGACCCACACATCGACCCAGTATTCACCTTATGTTAGGACAGTAACTATAGCTGTAACTTCGAACGCTTGGGGTTCAGGATCCAGGGTTCGCAGCAATGGCCCCAATTTGAATCACCTACCAAGCGGTGCCGAGGCGCACAAAGGATCGGCTAGAAGCCAGGTAGGTGAACGGTGTGCTGGCTCGCATACCTGCAATGCTTAGTTAGTGGGCTTGGCATGGTCAGAACTAAATGGGGACCTTGAGTCTGCGCATCTGCATCCTCAACCCCATAGACCTGTGCCTTTCCATCTGCAGCCCCAAACCGCACACCGACAATAAGACATGCTTGGCCCTGATACGGAATTTGGAGCTATCAATCAAACTTCTCCAACGACGTGTCGTCTTCTTACGTAGCTAATTACTGGTAATGCCAGGCTGTATTTCTGCTTGCAAGTCAAAGATCCAACTGCTGGGCAGGATTCACTAGAATGCTATCATGCTCAGGCAGCATTGGCACAATCACAGAATGGATTATGGAACCCATGCCATGGGGAGCTTCGGAGCAAAGAAAAAGCAGATTAGAATCGTGTTTTGGGCTCTCGATCATATGGCTTTCTAGCTCATAAGTACAAAGTCGCTCAGTAGCCAATTTGTCGTGGCGCACCCCTGCATCGTCCTACTCACACCACGCACAACAGGTACACCCTGGATTTCAAACCGAGTGCACCTACACGTGTTCAGCTGAATTCGCATAAATCTGGGCCGCACAACTCTGAGGCGCCCGAAAAGCTGTCCCCGATACGCTCTAAGCAAACTCTCTCTCTGTGTTCCTCTAAGGTGGCTGTTTCAGGTGCCCCGATGACCTTCCCTCAAAGACTGGACTTCGTCTTTCGCGTCTCACTCTCCCTCTCTCTCTGTCTCTCTCTCTCTCTCTCTCTTTCTTTCGGCAGGGCTATGGTGCAGGGGTTTGACCCTCCCTCTCTATCTCTCTCTCTCTCTCTCTCTCTCCCTCCCTCTCACTCTGTCTCTCTCTCTCTCTCGTTCTCTCTCTCCATGTATGTATATATATATATATATATACATACACGCATACATGCAAAGCAGGGTCTACATACATAGATATCACGTTTTTTGTATACCTAAATATGACGTAAATCTAAATATGAAACTGAATGTTTTGAGTATGAATAGAAGAAACAAACAAGAATACCGCCCCACCCCGGCATGTGCCCGCCGTTCCGTGTGCTTGACGGAGCAACGTGTCACAGCAAAGAGGTGAACGCTTGAGGGCACACCCCTCTATGACTGCAGAGTTGGGTAAGCTCAAACTAGTGGGTAAGCTCAAGCTAGTGGGACCCTGTGGCGTATAGCTTCCTGCGTGTCTTTGATATTACTCATGTCTTGTCGAATGTGTAACCTGGTCGTCTGACGCTTTTGTTGCAACATGAACTGCACATGATAATGCTCATGGCGGTGGTGCTTACTGGAGCTACTGTTGTTGTTATTACTCCTGTCACTGTGGCTAGTACGTATGGCCAAGCTATTGCCGTGGTCGCCAAGGTGTACGCAAACACGATAGTCGATGTCATCTTGACAGGCTGAGCACGCATATCACCCTTGCATGATATTTTCGGCCACTATATTCCGAAAGCAGAAACTGTTGTGGTGTGTTACCATAAACATGATTGTTTCAGTCAGAACGGGCGCCTTGACATGTGTCGCTCTACTTCTTTGTGTATCGTGAGTGGTGGTGGCTCTTCCTGTGCTGTCCTTCGACTACGTGACGAAGACACCGGAAATGACGGTTCATCTTCATCTGTTCATAAGCTCGTGTATACTGCGCTTAAACGTATGTTATGCTTCACGTTCGCAGTCCATTAGATGCGCCAGGCACCAAGGTACATACATATACATATATATATATATATGTATAGCCTGATGCGCAGCCAGTTCAGCAAACCAAGCGAAATGAAAGGACAGGCCAAGCCATGTGGCAACCTCACGCAGGTTATCCCCTGATTTGGGCAGGAATCGATTAGATGATACTTTCTGCTCATGCTTCATTTGCAAGTAATTGCTGCTCTATCTGTTGTAAGACACTACTTACATGATATCTGTTTAGCATTTACTTAAGTTATACTCGTTTGAATACTCGGTTGGTACCGAAGCAAATGTCGTCTTCTTCTCCCTGGAAAATGGTTAAGATGTGAAAGATGAGATAGTACGCAACCAATGGGTCACTAGGTCAGGTCTGATATGTCTAGTTGGTAGCACGTACTGCTATCCAATTTTTCTTCAATATTGATTAGCTAGCAGCTCAATAAATGTACATGCGGCAGTAGTTGAAATGCAGGCAGATGCTGCCTTAGGTGAACACAGGCAAGTATGTGCTGGAACGTTGACATATGAACATGGTAGATAAAGAGTGTTCGGAACCACGTCGAATACAAGGCACGTTAATCTGGCTACGTGCTTTCCAAGAATCAACAGCCTATCTATCGACAAGTTCTGCAAACTACAGCATTTGGTAAACAACTAGAGTGCAAACACAAACTGACTCGATAAACCAACGACAATCTTAAATGGAACGTCCATCTAAACACGTGTATCTGATTGAGCGCGAAACTGCAACAACGATACTACTTGTAACTATGTTTCTAGCAGAAGCATAAACGATTGTATCGTACACAATGTATGTACTCTTCGGTATAGTTTCTGAAGAGCAGTTGGATGAGAGATGGGTGTTCTAGGAATGTGAATGCACATCACAACCTGCATTGTCTAAAAGTCTCAGGTTTTGACGACCGTACCCCGGCATTCTATGTCTTAGGAACAACATCTTGGTTTGATTATTACAGGACAGGAATTACGGCTCCCTCGTCATTTGCACCAGACCCAAACAGGCCTCACGCGTATCCCCTGCATGCAAGCAGCGCTATGAGGGATGCACACGCTGCAACAGAAAGCATAATCCCTGAAACACAGAATTCAAACACGATCGCACAGAGGTCAGAACTACTTCTGGATTTCTTGCAGTTGCTGTGGAAGTTTGCATCACAGGATTTTGCGATTCTCGTGTACTTCTTAAGGACCCCTTGATACCAATCTAAAAGCTCGAGACCTTGGCAGTTCTTCTGTCATCTCCGCGAAAGTATCAAAAATGTTGGAGTTGGCAGATATTTTGCTTGTTGAGTGCGCTAACGAATGAACACAGCTCTGCTGTTTTAGTAGCAACAACCGAAATAGAAAACAACAGGGCAGGGATGACCGTACAGCCAGGAATTGTGCTTTCTTTATACGGAACAGAAGGGCGGGCAACCGGGGGGGGGGGGGGGGCCNNNNTATGTATGCGTATGTATGCGTATGTATGCGTATGTTTCGAAACAGGCAAACACATAAATGCATGTGTATATGCTTATCAAAGATAAATAAGTGCTGCATGCTAAACATACGGCAACAAAAACACCAAACACACAGCTCCCAAAGCACATTCAAATCGACCCGGTTTAAACAACAAGCTTTCGAGATCCAAGATGCCCCCACCGCAAGCACAGCAGGCTTCCTTGGCACTAAGCCCATTGTGCCGGTACTGCTCGATAGTCGTGTCCTGCTACCAGGAGAACAAAAGTGTTTGTGGTCTAACAGCTCAGCATTGAAATCTCGACAACAAACCGAAAGCAACAAGCACGAACACGGTAAACAACAAGTCTTGTTGCTGTTATTGTTGCTACTGCCGCTGCGGCTGCGGCTGCTGCTCCTGCTGCTGTTGCTGTTTCTGCCACTGCCACAACAATCACCTGTCTTTCGCTTTTTCGGCCAACGCTGAGTCTTCAACATCCAAGCCGACACGTGCCGGACTACATCCAAGCTCAAAGCCTGTCAAAGCCCCTTGTTATGCTCGGGAGCTTGGGGTTTTATTATGACGGTTTGGAAAACCGAAGCCACATATCCACACTCGGAGCCGTGGCTATGAATCTTGGCCATGCGGCGGCCTCAACATCCATGCCTGAAGTCCGAAATTCTAGCACCTTCCTACAACTCGATTTTAGAAAGCACAAGTCTGGGTGGCAAGGTGTTTGGACTGTGTGAGCTATGGGCCGCAAGACCTTGAGGCCTCCTCAGACCGTACCCAAATTTCGAATGTACGCGAATGTAGTTTCCGGCCCCACAAACCAAAGTCCCAGTACTTCAGCGGAGATCAAGCATAGCCAACTTACGGGGATCAGGGCGTCAGGCTTACAGGCTCAGTGCTTTATGGCCACGGCTTCAAAATCCAAGCTTGAACTCCGTAAGCGCAAGAACGGGTCATGAACTGAAAACCCGACGGCCCTAGCCAACATGCGAAAACACCCCCGACCACCGAAGCTGCAGGGGATGTTATAAGGCGTATGTCCCTGACAACAGCGACCTCTCACTTAAATTAGGGTGTTCGGGTTGGATTGAGAGGAGTTTTAGGGTCGACTGACTGTTCAGGATGGTCTATAGGTATCAGATTTCGGTTTAGGATTAGTTCGATATTCATGCTAGTTTAGGGATATCGATAAGTGTCCTCAAAGCCCAAGTATATGCTATAGTTAGCATACAGATACTTGGAGCCCTTCAACAATGGTTGGATACAGGGTATTCAGGGGATGTCTGGTTTGCCTTGACGATTTTGGAGCTGAAGCGGCTGCCGGAAGGCGCCTTTCCGCAAGCTGGAGCTGGCAGACACTCCAACAGTTTCGTCATGCATGATTTCGAAGGAGGGCCCTAAATCCTAAACTTTAAACCGTGTGTTGGGATTCAGAGTTCCCGCATCAAATTGTCATTCTTGAATGGTTCAGCGCATCCAGAGCTTTCGAAACAAAATCATGAAGTCGATCGCTTGAGAGTCCTTGCGCAACTCTGCTCCTACGTTGGGACAGGCTGTCAGCTTTTCGGCACCTAGGCCAATGCATGAAGAAGTTTCGGCTAGGTGGCCCACGGAACAATAGCTCATCGACCTATATTGTTAAGATTGCCTGGTGCCGCAGCTGTGCGGCTACTGCTTTATAGCAAATAATATAAGTTATAGCCGCGTGCAAGACGTGTTACGGGTGCGACAAAGTCATCGAAGCCCATGGCCTGTACTACCACGGCATCTAAAACCTGCAGAAACAAAAAGCAATGATGGCAAGCCATTTGTGGGACGTGCCGTCCACAGATCATCGAAGCAGAGTTGCTTGAGACATCGTGCAAAGCAACAGAGATCCTGCAAGGCCGTGCAAACAAAATAAAGAGCTCAGGATGGTACTACAGGGACGATCAAAAAGGCCACCCTCCAGCAGTTGAGGAGACGGGCATTCACCATCAGACAACAACAACCATGACAACACAACGACTGCACTGAAGCAGGGCTGCCGCGAAGCCTGGAGTATACCCCAGACCTCAAACTCCAAACCCAAGCTACTGTGTTTTTCGAGATTCAGGCTTTAGGTGTGTCTAGATTTATAGTGTTGAAGACTCTGTCCCCAGCCCAACCCCAAACCCCAAGCACCCCGAGGTTTTGTTCCGTGCAAGGCACCCCATTTCGACATACCATCTCGGCCCAGTAGTGGTGACAGTTGTTGCCGGCCGGGTCCACAAAGCCTGGCAAAGAGGTGGATCACAAGAGCTCTCGCCACCAACACGAGCGTCGGGTCTAGGACAGAGGACTTGGACGAATCAGTAAGACATATGTAGCAATCGAGGGCTTGGGGTGATAGCAGAAAAGTCGTAGTCATAGTCGTGATCGAGGCAAGAACTTAACATGACGGTGGGGATGTATAAACGCTGACGTCTGACGATTCGGTTGGCACGAAGGATCCAGGAGTTTTGAGCCTGAAGCCCTCAACTGCAGACTGAGTGTTATGTTTCGACTTTACAACCTGCTGCGAGGGGGTCAGAGCTTGATGCACACTTGGGCTTGCGAAATCGTAGCTTAGCTGGGGAAAGCTTCATGAGCTGGATTCGAAGTGGGCATGGGGCTTTGTCTGCGGCTTTTAGGGTGTTCAAGCTTTCGAGCCTCGGATATGCGTGCTGCTTTTCAGGTTTGAGAAATCACCGTGCGCTAGCTGCATGGCCTTTAAAGCGAGTCTTATACATCTCCATGGACGCGCGGTTGGCACTACCCGGACCAGCATCCCCCAAGGCAACTTTCTTCCTGGATGCCTTATAGTCACAAAGAGAATGCGCTTCGGTTATGCTGGATGACTGTTGAGGGCGCTTTCGGAACTTCTAGACTTCTAGACTCTAGAACTTAAACCAGGCCCTAAACGGTAAACCGCGGCAGCCCCAAACATTGAGACGTTGTGATGGAGCACTGTGAGTTTCTGCAACTGGGTTGAAACGTCTAATCAACAGGTTTGTGGGCCCAAGTAGGTGGTTGCTGTGAGATGCTACAGTCAGCCCTCGAGCTTGTCTAAGGGTTGTGGCGGTTGGGGAGTTGGATTTGGGATTACGCTGAACACACCAGGGAAGAGTCGGCCTGGAATGTCACGGCAGGCCATGCACGAGCTCTTTCCCATCTGGAAGCCACCGGCGCACACCTGAGAGAATGCGGTCCCGGAGGACGGGAAGATCTGAGTAAACTCCAAACAGCAGCAGCCGATTGATTCACTGACCCTACATTCCAAAACCTTAACGCCTATGAAGTTGCGCATAAGCATCACAATGCAACATAGTTCAAGGCCTATCTCACTAAGTCTCTATATGTAGATTTCCCACCAAGCACCGACTCCCAACGACGGTCTTGAGCTGTAATTATAGGGTTTAAGCGTTCACGTTCTACCGACTTTTACTTTGACATGAACCCGCACACTTCACCTCCGGGCTGCAAGAAGTTTGCATGTGGCTGTAGGAAAAGACTACGACAGGGATGTGTCACATAACATTGTCAACACGCTTAGATCGCAGAGACCAGCCACAGTAGACACGACCCCGATCCAGGAAACAACACCTCTGCTGAATCTCCACAAAACCCTTTCTGGCCCTATCCTCAACCGGTACCTGAGCCAAGCCAAGTATTCGGATACGGCGGGGCCTCGCAGTCCCTAACGCCACGGCGGCGTGAACTCCGCCGACGCCGACGCGACATAGCCTGGTCGGCGAACTGTCGATCTGGAGGGTTTAGGGTGTAGGCTTGAGGGTTTAGGGTCGAGGATCTCGCAAGTCTAAAATGTGAATTTTTCATTAAAGAAACAGCCGTGTGCGGTGGTTGCGCAGAGACTACAGGACCACGCTCGGAAGCCCACATTAGTCCTCAAGCCTATAAAGCCTGCCTGCACCCGTCAACCCGAAAAGCACAAGACCTCATGTAAACCAGAGTCTGTCAAGGCAAACGTTCACTCCAAATCTCAGGCTCTAATCCTGGTCCTTGCCAAACTCAGTCACTATGTCGTCATGCTTGTTTCAAAGGCGTTTAATGCTTCGGGGCTCTTCTGTGTCCGCTCGTCCGACTTACGGTGGAAGCTGTGGGCGGGTATCATGAGCTGGGCATCATCATTGGCCCAAGCAGCACCTGTGAAAAGCTTGCTTGACATGGTTCGATGAAAGTCACCTTGCATCACATCTCCATGTATCAGTACAACTGCTCGAAACCTCAAACAGCACCAACGGCAAGCCCAAACCTAGAGCCCAGCAGGACCTGACACCCGGAGCACTGAATGTTGTCGGCGGGGCAGCATTCCAACGTGGCCTCCACCGAAACCCAAGTTGAGTGCTTCGCAATATGCTCTGAAACGTACTCCTAGTGAGCGTATGGGAACGGAAGGTGATACCTGCGAGGCTTTGTGATCTACAGTATAGAGCTTGAAATAGAGGGTTTTCGTCTAAAGATCTTCAGACATCGCCCTCCCCGGAGGGAAGCGGGGTTGAAGGTGTCACCACTGCAACGCTGTAGGAGGTGGAGGTCACAGCTTCAAGATGACTTCTAAATGCTTCAGAGGTCCTAAGGGGCTATGGCTTGATATATAAGTCCAAATCTCAAACCCTAAATCCCAAGCCCAAGGCCCCCTAGAGCCACAGGCACAACATGTCCTGTATGCAAGATCTGCTCCAGTATAGTGCCTCGTGTGACATGTGGTGTCCACGCGTTTCAAATCGCTGCATTACAACAATTCTGAGGAGCTTTCGTGGCAAAACCCACCAAAGCTGAAATATGCGCTCCGGTGTCTGTGTGTGAGAGAGAGAGAGAGCAGGACGCATGGAGCATCTTACCTAGACATGCACATACACCTGTGTTGTGCTCCCTGTCTCGATCGATCGGTCTAGTCATCTAATCTCTACTTGCTGGCGTTTGCCCTTGAAGTTTGGTACTGCAAACACCAAGAAAATTCTTTCAGAGCCGAACCTCCCACGAAAAGGAACTCTGCATAGTGCGACACCCGAGCCCGGTCAGCCGAAGCCCCAAACCTGGAAAGCGACACACGACTCCAAGAACCCCACAGCAGAACCCACCAACAGCAGAGAAAGTCAGAATAGGCCTGGGCATTGGGGGGGTGGTATACTGTCCTAGCATTAGTATGCATGGGAGCTACGAAGAGCAGTTACAATGACTGACTCCTGTGCATCTGTTATATTGGGGCGCCGAAACTATTGAATCTTGAGCTGCACTGAACCTTAAACCTTGAACACTGAGCCCGAACCCGCTCATGGCACCTGGCCGTTGCTCTGGAAAGTCACCAACGAAATCTGCGATTCGGAGCACGACGACGAGGCATCATCACCTTACCATAAAACTGGGCTGCAACAGGGACCTTCCTGCATCCGGTCCTCAACAGAATCAGTGTTTTCAAATCCCACACCCCCAACCCAGCACCCCAGACGTTCGTAAGACTGGCAGCCTCAAGCTCAACTGAAAGGCTGAAACGCCGCGTTTACAACCCACATAGAGCCCTCTGCCCTTCTGGCCACAAATAAAGAGTCAGTCGGGTTTAGGGTTGGATCTCTAGGCTTTTGGGGTTTTGGTTGAGGGTCTCGAGTCTGGGGTACAGAGGCCTGAAGCAAGCAGACTAGGCTTGTAAACGGCTGTATACGCCAAGAAACCCGGAACCCAATGCCCTAAACCCAGACACTACTCGCCCTACTCCCGTCACTGCAAGGTGCTCGCGATCAAGCTCACGTTGGCCTTGCTGGGAGCTTTCTCAGAGCTGTTCTGGCCGCCCAGGTCTCCTGCAGGCTCGGCCCTCCGAAGACGACAACCCCAAAGCCCTAAACCCTAAAGCCGCAGGACAAAACCCTACAAACTACAAACTCTAAGTCCTAAAACCGAAACATTCAAACCCTAGGCTCGGAGTATGGCCTTTCATACACAGTTGCCGGTTGGGTTCAAGGTTTAGGATAGGATTCAGGGTTTGAGGCGTTGGGCGGAAAGACCTGAGACCGCCCCACACTTTGTCTTCTTTATTTTCTGTTCTTCGGGTTGGGATTCGGAGGCCATCCCTAATGCAGGGTCAGGCTTTGATCCCGGGCGGAATGGGGTCTAGAAACCATCGCAGCTATGCCACCGATGTATCTCAGCGGTGCACGTGCGAGATGGACTTGAACCCGTTTGTATGGACACCCCTGTAACTTCGTAGAGCTCAATACAAAGAAACACTTGGACATGTTGCGCTTTACGACCGTCCTGGTCGTAGGACCTAGGTAAGTCTTTAAGTCCTTGTCGAAGTGTCAAAACATTATACAGGCTTCGGCAATATACTGGCAAGCAAGATGAGCTTAGGGGGTTCACAGCTTGAAGATTCCTTGGGTGCTTTACAATATACTCAGTATACACCCAACACCCGCAAGTTGAATCATGGGTTAAGGACGTTCAGCGCTGCGCCTCTTTATACGTTGCTTCAAAGACACGCAGGCCATAATGTTCTGAATTTCCGGCTTTGGCTTTACAAGACTTATAGTTTAAGGAAACCGGCTTTGGATTTGAGAAGCGGTGTATGTTTCGTGAGTTTGAACCAGGACTGAGGGTTCAGGTAATCACAATTCACCCGTACATTCTTGAGGGTGATTTCAAGAAAGAGGCTTTTCCGCGACCAAGTTTCAGGAGTTGGGATTTGAAGCAGGAAACTGTTAAGTCATCATAACAGCGCTGTGCAACCACCAAGCCTACCATAAGAGTCTCACATTAATCGGACTTGAACCTCTCATTAGAAGGACCGTTACAAACAAGCAAAGCTCTGGACCCTAAACCCAAACCCTAAAAGTCAACAGTCCGTCCTGTGACCTTGCGCACACGACACTGCTCAAACAATGGCCCGGAGAGGGCGTCCGCCGGTTCCTGTAGGATGCCCATAAAGGGTATTGTAACAGATGTTAAGGGGGGGCTTCAAACTGATCTGTGGAGAGCTATAGGCTTGTATGTAGGGTTGCAGTTTACAGAAGGGATTCGGAGGTTCCGCCGCTTGGGTTTGGGCTCGGTGTTGGAGTTTGGGGGTTTAGGGTCTGTTCTCTTTCAGGGTTCAGGAATGTTCAGGACATGTTCTAGGAGCCGTCGCAAACCGCAAAGAAGACTCCAGTTCAACCTCCATACCCTAAGGGTCCATGTAGACTCATATAGTCTATACTTTGACCATCACGTAAACGGTTCATGGTGCTTAGGGTCGTGGTAATCGTGTACTGTGGGCTGGGCAGTCTGGTCCTCGGTAAGGTGCCGGCATGTAGGACTTGGGATCGGCGAAGAGACAATCATACTCCCAAAACTGTGTGAGCTTTCCGGTCTCCAGGCCTCTTCGAGAAGTGAGCTAAGCTTTTCGGTGGAGGAAGCCTTAGTGGACCCTCGGAAAGACTCTCGCTGCTGCTTACACGCTAGCCCACATGTATGAAGACCAGACGAAGCCCGATAAACTCCGAAAACCTTGAACTCCTATACCGCGGCCATGCTACAGGAAGGTTGGCGATAGATGAACCAGCGCCTAAGCTACAAAAACTCCACGACACCCTCAAACCTCAGGCAATTCTGAAAACGAGAATCCTGAGCCCTAAGCCTGCCTTCGCGTCCAAGACCGGAGGCCTGGATTCACATAAGGTTCAGGGTTTCGGATTGAAGGTTTAGGGTCGGTTTTAGTGTTTTGGGGCTAAAGGTTTGCAGGGTTTAGGGTGAGAGCGCTTGTTGTTTCTTTTGGGGTGTGAAGGTCATTGGCTTCTAGTCAGACATTTTTCCAGACCCTCAGGGTGTCCAACACTTGAGGCTGAAATACAGTCCCTCAATCGTAGTCTCTTCTTTTGGAGGTACACGATTCTGTGGTCTCCCTTCTTCGTAGAGTTGCGAGGTTCAGGTTTTTCACTTGAGCATTACTGAGTCCAAAACGTCAAACGGTACTTTAAGCCCCAACAGAAATGCTGGTTCATAGGAGTCTGAATACGTCACTACATGGACCCCTCAGGGAGACCCCGACTTGAAGAAGACCACAAATCGACAAAAATGACGGCTTCTATATGCTTTCTGCCTGGGTAGCTCTGGAATGGAGGGATTTACAGGTATGGTGGTTGTTGCGGAGCTCGGCTCGTTACTTTCGTTACACATGCCATCATCTGTCCAGAACCTCATGGGGATCTAGCCCCATGCCCTGAACCCTAAAACTGCGAAGCGGACAGCACTTGGCCCCGAACATCGAGCTTACTACCGTATTATGCCTCAACGACATAGTCCGTAATCTGTTAACCCGAAACACAGAACATCTCAGAACGCTATGATACGGACTCGCAGGTAAGGGCACCCAAGTCTCTTGCGGCCGGGCTTAAAGCTTCACCCGCAGGTGACTTCTTAGGGGCGCGGGCCTTGCACCTCTATGTTACGGCTTAAGTAGGCCTAGGCTCATCAAGCGGCAAGATAAGACGGAGCTAAACATCTCAGCAGTGGCACAGAAGTATGTCTGGTTGCACAGCATCGAGTGCCGGCTTTCGCACCTGCGCGGAAACTTGCGGATGTTGTAACGAAATTGTCAAATCGGGATTCGGTAGTACAATGGAACCCAGTGATATTAACCGCAAATGGCTGCCGTTTCTCGTGCCACAAGCACCGCCCAGCGACCTACGACAAGACCGTCGTAAATCCTCACGAAAAATGCACGGTGGGTCCCTGGTTTGTCATGAAAAACTCGGTGCCCGTGGGTGGTGGAGGTTGTCCGAAGAGGACTCCGGCTCGGCTCCCTCACTCACGAGAAATCGTGATAGATTAGATCCAGGTTTTTGTTTAAGACATGGGGCTTACAGTAGGGTTCTGGATCTCATGTGCATTTGGGGCTTGGGGTTCGGGTGCCGCTGGGTGGTGGCGATGGTGGGCTAGATCGAGAAAACACACTGGGATGGACAACATCCCAAAGCTCTATACACTCTCCACCTGCATTGAGCCCTAGCCACGAACATAATCTGCACCAAACCGACAATCAAAAATCTCGAGCAGAAGAAAAGGAGGCAGCCCACATGACACTAAACCGAAGGATCCTTCCTGAGACATGAGTGTGTACGTACGCATGTGTATATGTACATGTGTGTGTGTGTAAATACATACGAACATTTATACATGTATATATGTATATATACATACATATTCTGTATGTACATATATATATATATATCACATACTCATACATACATGCATGCATGCATACATACACACACACACACCCGTATCTGTAAATGTGTTGTGTGTGAGCAAAGGACACAGTACATACATGCATACATACATACATACATACATATACATACATACCTATGTGAGTACGTACATACAGACATATATACAGCCATACATACAGACATACAGACATACATGTGTACATACATACAAACATACATACATACATACATACATACCTACGTACGTACGTACGTACGTACGTACGTACGTACGTACGTACGTACGTACATATATACATACAGACACACGCACATACATGTTACATACATGCATGCATACATACATACATACATAGACACATACATACATACATACATGCATGCATGCATGCATGCATGCATGCATACATAGACACATACATACAAATACATACACACAAATGCAAACGTACCAACACATAAAGAAAGCACACGAAAACACACAAACAGACAAACAGACACACGTACATACAAACACACAAGAATACATAGACACAAATGCAAACATACCAACACATACATTACATGCGTAATAGATACACACAAACGTACATACAGACGTCCCTCCATACATGCATTCACCCATGCATGCAGACATCCACCCATCCATGCATGCGTGCATACATACACATACATAAACGGAGTACGTGCGTACATCCATCCATTCATACATACATGCATACATCCGTGCATACGTCCGTGCATCCGGCATGCATGCACGCACACGCACACCCGTACACAGACACGTGCACTTACACACAGTATCTCTGTGTGTATACATATATGCATATATGTATACATACATGTTTAGTTATCTAAACTTATAAACTTCACAAGTAGGCATAGACATAGACATAGATATGGACATAGACTTAGACAGATACAGATACACAACCACAGGCAGAGACGTACTCGTATTTATTAAGCACACGCTTCGTATTCATAGTCATATGTATACATGCATATGCATACATACATATGCATACATACACACATACATATAAACATACATGCAGACAGACTGACAAAAGACAGACAGACAGACAGACAGACAGACAGACAGACAGACAGACAGACAGACAGACAGACAGACAGACAGACAGACAGACAGACGGACAGACACACAGACATATTCATGCATGCGTGCATACTTCTAGGTATGTTCATGTATGTACTACCAGAATATATATATATATATACACACAGATATATATATATATATATATATACACACACACATTCAGGTTACTCTTCCAACAACGCGATGCCCACCTGCAGCAGTGCAGATGCTTTCTTTGCAGCTTCGCCTTCCGGCACATGCTAGTTTAGCCGCAGTTTAGCCTTTTGCGCTGTAGTGTTTGGGGCTATGTAAGCAAAGGACTAAGGCTTTGACGGTTGCAGGTTCAGGAGTGCGCGATCCGAAATTGTGGGACATCGGACCTTTGTTCGCCTTACATGTAGCATGTCCTGCTACGACCAGTGAATGGCAACGGAATCCTACAGAGTCTTCCTGTTCTGAAAGATCAACATCAAGAGACCTCGCAGCTTCTGTGTCACCGAGTCTGCGTGCCCTTTTCAAACGCAGCCTTAATTTGATCACCATAATTTGGTTCCCGGGCCCGTCTCCATCCATCTGACCCACGAGCTGAACCAGCCTATTCTTTGGCCCTTAACCTCTGTAAAGCTGAAGTATCTACAATGGTTTTTTTGCTTGGGAGTTGAAGGTGTGTGTGGCTGTTCAATGTTCCGGACGGCAACGCAACGTCAGCCATCAATCTCGGCATACCCACTAAGGTTTACGGTCCCAGGAAGGGTAACTTTTCGCCACGAGGCACCTAGCTCCTCCTAAGCAGCTCGAAACTTGTTTCCTGCCACACAAAGATCGACACTTGCGCCCACAACCATGCATGGCGAACGCCTCAACCCGAAGCACTGAGCCTCGGTGCTCTGACTCCTTCAAGGCTGTAAACAGCGCACACAACGAACCATAACAGGTGCAACGGGGCCTGGTAACTCGTCTGACAGATCGCACTGTTCTGCTATACCACGAGCCACAAGCCAAGAGGATACCTTACTGTCGAGAGTGGCATCGGGGCGGATCACAGAACTGTAAAACCAGAAGTCTTGCGAAATTGCTGGCCGCAGGACTGATCGGTAGCTGAGAGGAACTGGCTGAAACCTCCAACCCTTCTATGTTCAACTCTCGCCGGTACACACACAGAGATATTCGTGTAAATAAGTACATATATATATATATATATGTATACATCTTTACATGTGTGTACGTATGTATTTTTTGTATCTACGAATGAATATATATATATATATATACACATACATACATATATACATATGCACATACACATTATTCTGCACACATGCCTATGTATGTATGTGTATATATATATATATGCATACATGTCAGTACAATATATGTATGTATGTGTATAAATAAATATGCATACATACAGACAGACGTCATGTACCGATGCGTCCATGCATACATACATGCGCCCATCCATCACTCCAGCAATCCATCAATCTATCCATCCATACATCCATACGTCCATCTCCACGCACCAAATTATCACACGTAGCAGGGTTGTTGTTTGAAGAGAGTTCTTAAGAATGCGAGAGCCAAAGGTGTGAAGGCTCGCAGTAACAGAACCATATGTGTAGCGACGAAGAGTTCGTAGTGAAACTGCAGGATCCCAACGTACCCGTAGTCAGCAGTAAACTCAAATCCGTGGAGAAGTTAAGTGCATTCTCTCAGTTTTAACCGACTGTTGTGGCACACGCTTGCGTCGTGCAGTGTGTGCAGAGTCCCCTGTCAAAAACTGTATAGGTCCAAAGTGCATGTGATGTATGTTGTGTACTGACACTCTTAAAGCCCTTTGCCAACAAATTCAGGACGCACAAACGCAGAAGCGCCAGCGTGACGGAAAGGAAGAAAGCCTGGGCAAAGTAGAGATTTAACATGCAAATCTTGAACCCTTACCCCGAACACTGATAAAGCTTCCGCTGAAACCATTTACGTGTTGAAGCCGAACTCAAAATGCGAGAGGCGCAGGTGGATCTGAAAGTATCTCTAATAATGATGAACCGACGAATCCGATAAGTCCCGAAACGCCGACGGGGTAGCTGGGATGGTGGCAGGGGCATTGTCTTGGGGATTGGCTGTAAGCCGCTGACGGATTCTGGCGAGGTACAGGTTCTAGCATGTGCTCACACTAATGCCAACTGGCCACTTACTCTGCACCCACGGGTCGTGGGCCTGAATCTACCTTCAACCCAGGGCTGTTTGATGCTTGAATAAATAACACGAGAAACTCATTGGGTTTGGGTGCGTCTCCAACAACCAGAAACGAAGCATGGTCAAGCTTGCATAAAACTACGCGCAAAAACCTAGACCTGGACTGGAGCCCTCACCCAACATCACACCTTGAGCCATGAAATGAATAAGAACTGTGAGCTGAATGACTAGACCAGGCTTCAGGGTCCAGTGTAGTATAAACACTCGGGCTCAAGAAGAACACTGCTACTCAGACGCCAACACGAGTGAAATGAGGACTCGGACTACCGAGCTCATAAACTGAACAATTAGGTGTGGACCAGTGGATGGGCTTTCTGAGGAGGGTCGGGTCGGGTTTCGAGACTTGCCGGCGGAGCCTTAAACAAAATCAGGGTTTCCTTCAGCATCACTTGGCCCTCTATGTCAGTGCGAATCTGGGAACGGCGAATGCTGAGGCTCGAGCGACATACAGCCCCTGACTGATGCCGAGCGGTAAGTGTACCTTGCGGCTCAAGGCTCAGACTGTAGCATTCGGGCTCTGTATCTGCGAGCTGGGATTGACAAAGGTGGCATACGTCAGCCACAATAGCCCTACGAGTCGAGAGAAGTACAGCAGCAAGTCCAACACCATGCCAGGGAATGCTGATGTTCGCATCCCAAAAACCCGAAGCCAGACCGACCGACTGACCCTAAGCCCCAAAGCTTCTAACCTCTTACCCGATCTTAGGTCTTGATCTTGAACAAACTTGAAATTTAAACCCGTAAGTCTCGGAATGGCTTTTGCCAAAATGCACTGCGAGCGCAAGGCAAGATTAAACGAACATGGATAGATACCTGTCAAGAGCCATTGCAACAATCCTTGCGGAACCTTATTTCAATTACAAAAAGGCCAACATCAGCCTGGCGGCGTAGGATTCCCGCCAGGGATGGCAAAGAGCCCAATTGGCTGCAGAGATGCACCAGAGCTCAGTGAAGTCATAGTTTAGAGGGCTACCAG